CCATAGTTCTAATTATCACTTAGGTTTTCGGACGGCTAAACTACTGAAGTACTCTTTAGCTTTCATTTCTCCCTTCTTGATTTTAGTGGTCACATGACTTGACTTTTAAGCGTGCACAAATTGTCAAAGGCTAAACGTGTGACGAATTTAACTTGTTTGACCATGTTTGCTGTGTAGGATGGATCACCGCCGACCCAACACGGCTTTTGCACTTTATGGTCATCATTTGATTAGATGGTTCACTTTGGTAAGCACATATACGATTATGGCGAACCAAAAATCCTTTATTGTGACACATTTGAATAAAAACTGCCTTTCTAAGATGCTTGTGTTCATCTTTTACTAACTAGGTTTATGGCCTACTGAAAGCTAATATCTGTAAGTAAAATGCCCTGTTTATGCCAAATCAATGGCTACTGTAGGACATTCCAGCCCACCCTCAGGCTCCTGAACCTCTGGCTTCATAAGAAGATAGCTTAGAAAGGGTTTATTAGGCAACCTTTACAGAACAGAAAAGGATCTGTGTATGGGTATGATGGCGATCCGGCGTTACTCCGCTGAAGAGTGCTGACGTTCTTTAAGCCCGGGATTCGTGTACAAATTGACCAACCGACTCCTCCCTCCAAGCGCAACTTCAACACATTACTTTATGCATGTTGCAGTCACGCGTTACGGTTTCAATATTGCGTCGGATATCCGATTAGAACTGGATATAACACAGCGAGGTATATTGTGGAGAGGAATACTTAAGATGTGGTCACCTTATACCTTTGTACGTACCTCGCGTTACCTACCTTATCCATTTATTCGGCTTTTTTACATATGACACCAGAGTAGGTTATTAAAAGCACCATGGAAGGATTACTTATTGAAATGCCAGTAAGACGTCAAGTGTGATTGCTCCGATCAAATGTGCTCGTGGGCGTGAGAAGGAAAACTACGCAATCGGTCGAGTACGGTCTACAGCGGTGATGTTGTAGTTGGGCATGAAATTTAACACGATCTGCTCGATTTCCTTAGTTGTCCGCATTTGTTCTATTCGATGCCGTTTTTAAGGTCGTTAGCGAATCCCTCAATCTTGGCGTACAACATGCAACAACAAGGGCTTCTATCCGACCATCTTGAGGAACTTGCTTTGGCTGTAGCTGAAGACTGCTTCAAGTGAACCAATCCCGGCAGGCACGCAAAGTCCAGAATGTGCATTCACTTTGCGAGGTTACCAAACCATGCTGCTCGGATGTTAATCTAGTCGAGACCTCCATGATTAGTCTCATACCACACCATTTACCTTATCCCACTTGCTATTGAAACAGTAGTGATACCATATTGCTAAACTTTCTCCCTTTTTTATCAAACTACGTTTTTACCTATTTCACCTTAGGTAAACCGCACTCCGATATAACCATAAAATGGCAGCAACGCAACAATACTATCACTTCCCTTCCAAGTTAAAAGGTACCGATGCGGATTATACGTTCTAGTGGTAGTCGGGAAGTTGTGACACGCCACTTCATCAATGCACTGACCCTGACAAATTTTACTAAAACATTGCTTTTGTGCACCCATGAGAAGTCCTCATTTACTCAGCGCAACGAAAGCCGTTCACCGGGCAGGTGAACAGACATCGAAAGCTCATCATGCATCAAGTCTGTCTCCGACTACATGGCGTGTCGCGAGAGATTTAATGTCTCGATGAAATCGGCGCCAACTCCTTCATTAATGATGCTTACAGGTAGTCCTTGACCTCGAACACAATCCACTAGACTGTACCAATGCAGCAATTTTCCTGCAAAAGGTAAATAAAGACGGATTGCCTGACAAGGCACTCATGCTTTGCAGTAGCTGTCATAACGTTTGCTAGGTTTAAGGCCCGTCCCTTCATGCTTCAACTGCGTTTGAGTGCATCACTTTGCAAAACGTCCGTCCCTCACTTGCCGATACTTCCCAGCCATCAGACTACTCTGATTCCTCAAGTTGACCGACAAGAGGAGTTCTGCATTTTATAACCTCAGTATTCGATCTCTGTGGCATTTGAATTAGGCTCCTAGGCTTCTGAAAATTGTGATGTACTCCGCATTCCGACAGATTCCTAGCCAGCCCCCAATTAACAGTTACGATGGCATACCTTCAGGTGCACACTAGCCTTATGACGTAAATGCCGAACTGAGACGGTTTGTTTTCTTCCAGCAAAAGATGAACTCATCACTGCCCACACCACTGAAGTAATAAATGGCAATAAAATATACCCATTTCTTCAAGCATTCGTGTGTTTATTCTGGCTAAAATACCGAAGGTACTTAAATAAATTGGGGTTGTGATTGGTTTATCGATGTGTGCGCACGTGCCACTGGTGCTCTGTGATTGGTCAACTTATAGTTGAATGGATGTGTTTGACCCTTCAGAGGTGAACAACGTAAAATTTGGGAATACCGCATGGTTTTCCGTAATTCCATGGCTCAGTCACCTTCGTTTTGTGTCAGCTTCATTGATGTTTTTAATGTTGCCCTTCTTAACTCCCCTTTTAGCACATAGTTCCAAGCGGTTTCATTGATTTATGCAATTCGTTTGAAGCAACAACTGAAATATAGTAGAAACCTGGATTAGTGCATGTAAGCCAATCCCTTTGTAGGTGGATTTGGATGGTGAGGCATTTAGACGCTAGGCCACTTATTATGAATTAAAAGTAATGACAATAATGTAGAGTTCATTGATGGTGCTGGTCAGTTAAATGTAGCTGATCACCCGATTAAAGACCCACTGAAGGAGGCTAGTATCGGAGGAAAATCGATGACTCCTAGTGGAAGTAGGGACCGCTGTTGCGGGTGCATAGTGTATGGTACAGTGACCAAAGCTGCTAATGTGGTGTTTCGAAACACCCGAATGGCGTCTCAGGCATATGAGCTCATCAAGTTGGGGTTCACGCGTTATGTGCGGACGTGTCAGTTCGCACGCACGTACGCACATGCACGACCGCACATGGACGCATGCGCACGCGCGCTTAGAGATACTGGCTAGCACATATGCAGGAAGGATCTGGAGGCAAACGCCAGGGTCGCGTTGGCGTGTGTGTTTGTGCGCGATCCGGAGTGGAATACGGCAATTGTCTTTGACGCCGGAGCAATATTCTTCGCCTTTTTTCGTTTAACTCCCCCACGCTTTTGTACATAGGCCAACCGAACCGCCGTCATTTTTGATATCGTCGTGTTAATACGTCATCTGACAACCCGCTTATATTGAAGTCCTGTCAACCGTGGAAGATGTCTTCCAGCAACAAGTATCGGGTTGGAGGTAACTTTCCAAACTCACTCGAAATGTGGCTTTGTCTTTCTCGTGGTAACTATCTCCATATTTTGTGTTTGAAAATTTCACCTTTTCAATAACAGTCGCCTCCGAGTAGGGCGTCCTTGCCTTCAAGGCGTAATCTTTCACCTTTAGGAGCCTCATATTTTTTGCAGGCTTTTTTTCGAACATGAGTATAAATTTGCCATATAGATGCTCAAAGTAATGGAAGGTTGAATGACTGCGGATGTTTTTAGCATGCTAAAAAGTGTCGTAGTCGATGTCTGGCTTGGGTGTGAGAATGGTTGAGTGAGGCTACTAAAGGTAACCAAGACCGCTCCTGATGAATGCCTGAAGTCGTTAAATTGCTTTTTTCATTAACTTTATATGATTGCGGTGTTTTTTTGTGCTAGTTGCGCTTTAATATCAGTAAAAGTCAGTAGGTCTAATTAAAGGTGGTTCAAGTATGAAAGTAGGTGCTCTCATGCCCATACTAATACCAAACGTGACATTTTGTTTATTACCCTTTGCGTCCATCTTTATCAGTGCTTTGTTATTTGGCCTCGTTTTAAACATAGTTTAACTTGTGCTGGTTAATGATGCTCTTGATAAGAAAATTGTTAGCCGCGTCTCTGTCTTAGGTCCGATAAAGAACCACAGCCGCCAATCTTCCCTTGGAATTGTCTCCTCTGTTGCACTATTAGTTCATTTGGCTCATTGGCGGTACTTTTCTACTAATATGGATGGTCACACCTTGAAACGATAAAATTTTTGTGGCTCAGCGGGATAGGTTTACGTCTAGACCATCGATAGGGCATTGTTCCCCATTTCCTCCATCGCCTTCTTTCACCTCTAACTTTCCTTGTAGACTTTGTGTACTTCGAAACGAATGCCACAGCTCCCTACCAAATCCGGCGACTTGATGAACTCGTTATGGTACTCTTGACGTTTCCTGCTTTTCGCCCCTTGCCCTTCTTCATGGAGGATAAAATGGGTTTTCATTTTCAGACCCCAAATGGAGTGGAAGCCAAAGTAACATGCTATTTTCGACGCCGTGACATATCAAATACTCTCATCCAACAGGCGGAGAAGTATTGTGAGTGAAGTTACTCAGTGGACATGGGATCCATTGCTTCCGCCATTCCTTCTTTCCGTGTATTAGGGATCTGCCTTAGCTCATGCCTTTGATTCCTCTCGCCGTGCATTTCCCCAAGTAAACCACAGGCTGTGGTTATGCATTGAGTCTATTTGGTTTACAGATTTCCAAGAAACGGATGATGCTAATGGAGAGGCAACACCCCCGCTATCGGATCTCTTGCGTCATCAAGTCAAACATAGGGAGCTCTTCCACTCCCGCACAATTGAGTCTCTACCTGCCACACACATCCGTGGTATGTTTCTCTTGCACTCCTGTTACGATGGCGCTTTGTTATACGCTCTTCGAGCTGAACATCAGCATTAGCTAACCATTCTTTACAGCCACTTGTGCGTTTGTGGGCAGAGATAGCCTAGTAACGTTGCCGTCACTGAAAAGGAGAAGTGCCTAGTGAAGATCAGTAATTTGAAATGCCTTCCACACGCATTCCACGTTTCTATGGGAAGTTTTGTTGTGAGTCACTGCCGTGGAAAAAGAGAATATGGCGATAGGAAAGGATTGAATTACTTCTCAGGCACTCTCATTTCACTCAAATGGTAGTGGAAATGTCATTGAGTACTCCGACTCCATGCTTTTTGCTTGGTGAAGATAGCATGTTGAAGTGTCTTCGTCTGATTTAGCTGTTGTAAATTT